TGTACTGAAGTAATCCAATATATTGTGTCGCACGTACCCAACCTCAATTGCCTCCAATGTGCTATGTATCCGGCATTTAGGGACATACGTGCGTAGTGCGTTTTCTGTTCTTTTTTTCTTTTTTTTTTTTCTTTTTGCTTTGTCGACTAATCGCAAGAGTAAGTTGGTGTATTAAGTTTCCCGCTTATTTGTGGTGGGAACATGAGGCCAAGGGGACGCAGGGTGTGGAATATGGCCGGAAACAGTCGTTCGTCCATTTTGCACTCGGTGATATTTGTGCGAGCTTGTGTGTTGTGCGTTGTTGTGTGAGTGCCTCGTGGCTGTGCTTACTTTCCAAAGGGAATAACCAAGAAGGGCGACGATGACGGAAGTGAGAAAAAACAGGAGCGGGGTAGTGGCGGTAAGGACCGTGTCGGTTAGGTCGGGCGGGGTTGGACCACCATCATTGGACGGACCCTTATTTGGGCCTATAGGATGAGGAACCTGTGCAGGGCGTGGTCCATAGTTTCCTCCTAATTCGCCTTCTGGTTTTGGAGGATCTGTTCCTAATCCAAAATCATTACCTCCATTTGTTTTATTAGAACCGGTACCTTCATGGTTAGTAGTACTAGGAGGGGAGGCAGGACCGGATGCACCTGGGCCGCGGTACGCAGTATTAAGGGAGCAGAGTTTCTCATACCCACTGCATGCTGTGCCAGTGAGACCAGGTATATTAGCGTCCAGTGGACCAAATTCATCCTTATTCTTCGTTTTATCATTCTTAGGAGAAACACCGGTAACAAAATCCCAGAATTCAGCGTCAAAAACAGGGTCCTTAATAGTGGGCTGTTCCTTTGGTCTGGTGTTGGACTTATCGCTCTGATCTTTACTACTGCCATCCAGGGTATTGGTCGTAGGGGGGTTGTCCACATGATCGTGAGGTTTCTGGGGGTCCTTTGGTGTGTGCTGACTCGTATCTCGTGCAGCTGCAATAGTACTTTTCTCTTTCGCCGTTTCCTCCGGCTTAAGCGGATCCTTCTGATCACCAGTGTTTCCACCTGCTGGCGCGCCTGGACTCCTTGACGTCGTTCTGTCTACTCCTTCAGTGCCTGAATGGGAGGTCAAAAGGAAAATATAAGAAGTGTTCAAACTAAAGTTTTTTGCGGCGTTTGTTGGGGTGCATGGTTAGCCACACGGTCTGCCACGGTCGGCACCATTGGTGCCACGGGGGCAGGCGTGGAGGCAGGGAATGGGGAGACGGGGGTAGGCTGCCACCCGGGAAAAGACTCTCTCTGTCACAACAACCACACACAGACAGTGTGTGTCTCTCGACTTCTACCCGTCTACGTGTCTACGTCTCTCTACATGCCGAGGCCGACCTATCGCCCCGTCGCTCTTCCCCCCCTTTCATTCTCATTCGACGTTGGTTTCGCGCTATGTGTGTGCTCTCCGTGTTGTCTCTCCCGGTCTCTCCGGAAATTGTTGTTTTTTTTTTTTTTTTCAGTCCTTTTATTAGTGCATATGTGTTGCGTGCACACTGCTAGATTCACCTGTCTCTGAACTTGGGTTAGGACTAGTGGGAGCGTGCTCGCTCGTGTGCTGTGCCTCCAGGAGTTTCCGAACATCATCCGTCAGCCCAAGATCACTATCTGAGGTACTTCCGCAACTAATTGAGACACCTGGAGATGTGCCGCTACTACCGAGACATGTCGCCTTACCTGGAGATGTTGCTTCCGGTGCTGTAACTGGGGTAGTTTCGTCCTTCTTAGGCGGCTGTGGAGCTGCGGGTGGTGGTGATTTGGTTCCTGTGTCCTCTGTTCCACTAGGAACGCTTGGTGGTGGTGGTGGGGGTTGTTGTCCAGGTCCTGGTCCTTGACCCGGTCCTTGTCCTGTGGATCCTGCTGCCGGTGCCGCAGGAGGTGCTGGTGTAGGTGTTACTGTTGTGGTTACTGGTGTTGTTTCTGATGTTGTGGGATCATTGCTCCCCACTGATGCTCCTGCCGATGTGGCGGATTTGCCCTCGGGTATTGTTGTGGCTGGCGGTCCGGATGGTGGTACTTGATTCTTATTCTTGTCGTCCTTACTGCCATCCTCCTGCTTATCGTTCGTCTCCGTAACAGCATGCGTCGGGGCCTGTGGTTGCTTAACTGGTGGAGCTTGCGGTTTCGTGCCTGCTGCAAATAAAGCAAGGACGTAAAACGACAAAATGATACAAAACAGGACACAAGTGGTACAGAAAGCAGGGGCGGGACGGTGTGGTCAGGTAGCGGCAGCAAGCGTACGGTGAGGTGAACTCGGTCGACTGGGTCGGGATGGATGATAGCAGTACAACTTTTATTTGTCGACGTCATCGCGTCCGCGACCGCCGTCCCGCTGTATCCGTCGCCGTCACCGCTCCCGTCCTGGCCCTCTCCCTCACCGCCGCTCCATGCGTCGTTGTGGTGGCCGCTCCATCCCCACGCACCATTGTGACGCCGCGGCCGCCGCGGCACACACACACCTCGTCTACACAGTGGTCGTCTCTGCGAACGGTACGCTCGTCGCTGCCATCGTCGCCGCTCATCGCTCGGCAATTCTACGGTCGACTCAACGAGAGGGTGCTGTTGTGGCTGCCGTGTGCGTGTTGTTGTGGTGGCATCCATATGCGGCAGTTTGATCCCGTGTGCGGCCGTGTGCGTATTCGTGTGCGTGCCGTATTGGTGCTTTCTCCCATCGGTCCTTACCTGGCGGTGCCCCTGGCGGTGTTGCCGCGGCTCCCGGTGCGACCGGTGTTTGTGGCGCTGGTTTGGCCGGGGCGGGTTTAGCGGAGGCAGTGTGCCCTACGTTCTCTACTACGCTCTTAAAACCATCTGCCCGTGCGCCTTCTTTTTTCAGCCGTGCTAGTAGTGTATGGCGTTCATTCGGCGTAAAGGTCTGCCCCTGTTCCACAGCCTTGTGAACATTATCCGCTTCTCCTTCGTGGAATATTCTAACAATAGGGGTTTTGGGCTCACTGCTTGCGTTATTACTTGTGGTGCCTCCAGCCTTTAACCCTGCACAAGCCCCTACTGACCTATGTGTTCCTACGCGTCCCTTCTGATTCTCGTGTTTCCAACTGCGTATCCACTCTGCCATGGTTAGCCCCACATATTTGGTGCCCACCACTAGTGTATTGTAGTCTAATGCATTGCACCATCCACTATTATCGTTATATTCAGTTGCTTGCCTCCACGCATGCATGTACATGGAAACGGTCTCCAGCATTTCCTTCTTCTCGCAGTTGTTCCAGAATAGTTCTATTAAAGCTACATTTCCCATTATACACCTGACATATTTCTCAAATGTTCCATTGTGCCCTTGCGTACTGCGCACGTTCCACTGCATATTTTCGCGATGTATCCCGTCCATAAAGAGAAAAATGTTAACCATCTGCCGACAAACTGCTCTTTTGGCTTGATAGTGAGTTATACTTGCTGGGAAGGCTTGCTGACATATTGCTGTATTGTAATCGTTAGGTTTCATGAGGTTGCTACTTAACACCTTGAATATGCGTTCTATGTCCTGCCATACTGTAACCTATAAGTATAATAATTCACACGTGCACACATGAATTCCTGCATTCCTTCGTTCTGGGAAAATTAATTTTAACTCTTGCATATACTGCCCTTCCCAAGACTATAATACTCACTTTCTACACACACATGCTAGTGTGATGCATATATTTCCCTATATGGATGTTACTTATCCATTAACAGCAGTATATGTGTAGAGGCCGCCGCCTTCTCATCCTAAGAACTTACGCTGAAACTGCCCAGCCCAGTATCCGTGTCGTCCTGATCGGACCGTAGTTGGCGCTGTAGGACATACTGTGCCAACAAATGCGCAAATTCCTGTGTACTCATGTTGTAACTTCTATAGGATACAATTCTGATGTCTTGTACAATATTAAATATAAATACCCGTCTTCTAATGACCCGTACGTATTCTGTGCACGGCACGCCACTTGACTCTGCCTTCTAGTGCTAGTATATACAAGCCCATATGTTCCTATGTATTCACGAGTGGCACATTATACTACTACTCTGTGCTGAATAACATACATGGCACCTTAATTAAAAAGTAGAAAAAGTACATAAAGAGCAAAATAAAAAAATAACAGTATTCTCCTATTAATATGATGCATGCGCAATTATCCACACACATACATGAATTAGTATACTACGTAAAAGCAAAAAAGAAAAAATAAGTACACTACAAGCTCAAATAAAAAAAAAGAAAGGTAAGGAAAAAATAGAAAAAGGTACACTACTACTACGACTACACGCACAACGCGTCATCAATACGGCATTATACACCGGTCTACACTAAACGCCTTCACACACACTGTCTCTGTGTGCGTACAACTAAACCCCTTGTACACCTAAAAACCGCAGTAATAACAACAACATGAATTTCTTCTTCCGTCGTTGCCGTCGTGGCTGCCGTCGTGGCTGCCGTCGTTACCGGTCCTTGTGCGCCTTCCCACATAATATGTGTGTTCCGTCCTGCGCCTCCCGCTCTGTCGATCCTTCACGCGGCTACTTCGTCAAACCGCGTGTGCTAGTCTACAATCTCTCGTGCTGCTTACACTCGGCTACTTCGTCGACGCGTTGCTCGGAGAGACAATCTCTCCCTCCGTTCTTACACTCGGACAATCCTTCGTCGAATCGTGCTTGCACGCGGCCGCGTTGCTCGACGAGTTTGCTCGGAGAGACAATCGCTCCTTCTGCTTACACGCGGCTGCGTCCTCGGACAATGCGGTTTACGCGGCCACGTTTGCTCGGCAACTGGTTCGAATCGGTGCACGCGGACCGACCACGTTTGCTCGGAGAGACAAGCGCTCCGTATACGCGAATACGTATGCGCATGCTATATGTGTTCTGCACTATACCCTGCGAATGCACGTGCTCAGCTTTTAATAATTAACTTCACATAAAGGAGAATACTACCGCGTCATATTATTCATGTAAATCTACATTTTATATGCATTTATCCTCTACAACCGTATCTGTATAGTCATAATAAAAGAAGTTGACTACACAGAAAAAGAAAAAAAAAAAGCAAAAGTAAACAGAAGTAAGCAGAACAGAGCAGCAAAAAAAAAACGTATGGAATAGTGCAAACAAGAAATGTATTATGTATATCACATAATGAAATAAAAGTGGTCTACGGTCAGCATGCGTTATTTTCCATTCATATGCGCCGTCATCCTAATGTCACAGTTGCTCCAATAGGTCATCCACATATAACTGCTGTTCGTGAATATGCTGCTCCAGCTCGCACTGTTCTATGACTAATGCCAGGATCAGTATCCATATTTTAGCGGTTAACGGTGGTTGCAGTAAGGTTGCTGATGAAGTTGCGTGCATGGTGCAACTCTCACTCTCAGTATATCTTCTGCGGCCATTACTTTGTCCAGTTCTAAGGCTTTTTCCGCTATAGGTACTGCGCGTTTTTCCGGTGCTGTCTCCTGCTGTACATTATGCAACAAATGTTGGAACCACGCCTCCGCACTATATGTATTCATAAGGTCATGTTGTTTTGCAACCCATGCTTGCCATGCATCCAATTTCGTCCTTTCCATGGTTGCGGCTGTCTTGTGGTCACCGGATGCTGCGTCTGACACGATGTGCTCACGCAGGTATTGTTTCCAATCCGCTTTTAATTGCAAAAACCACGGCTGCGTCGCGCACGCCCGCAAAAAGTACTTGTTGCGGTCAATCCAGTTAATCCAGTGGGTGCACGCCGACGTCTCGTCACCGTGGTCGGAATGAGCACGACTCTGTTGTGCATGTAACTGTATGGATTCCATACAATTCCATCGGTCCTCTGCGTGAGGTGGAGCACGGTCCGTTGCTAACTCCATGGTTTCCATACAACTCCATGGATCGGGGTCATGAGGTCGACAAGGGTCGGTTGCTAACTGTATGGTTTCCATACAACTCCATGGATCGGGGTCATGTGGTGGACATGGATCTGTGCCGTCGGAATCGATCGGTAGATCCCGGTTTGTCGAATGCGCGGTTGTCACATCGCGGGTTGTCGAATCGTGGGTTGCTAAACCGTCGTCTGGGGTACAGACATCCGAGCTACTTGTACACATGTTGTTGCCCCCCATAAACTCGTGAACGAGTATGTGCAAATAGTCGTCTTTGACGTTTTCCCACGCGGCTGCGTCACATTCGTGGAGCACTTCTAGATGTAGCTCCATGATGGTGCGCTTATGCACGCGTGGTGGGCGGCCTCTACCAGGTATTGACGAAGGTTGCCTATCCCGAATCATGGTGTACCCGTAATCGGGTGGCGGCAGGTCCGCGCGTTGTAGATGCTCCAATATTTCTTCGTCGAGTGGCGGTGACGGCACGTCACGCACGGTTCGATATGTTCGTCGTCGTTTAGCGAGGTACGCAAAGTACTAAGCAGAAAAAGGGGGGTAAAGAGGAGGATGGGCACGGTAGGATAAAAGGAATGCACACGGGTGTAGGAGTATATTGATTAGAATGATCATATATGGGAGCCGGTTGGGATGTTCTGCGGTATAAACATCCTGCACATGCGGCATGCCCGCATGGTCGTATATACTTACCTTCCAGAGGAAGAACGCAATGATCGCAATACCAACAACCGCTGGAATAATCGCGGGTACATATGGGACGAGATCCTTGGGGTCGACTGCTTTCGGGAAAAGGTGCGTAGGTGGTAGTTCATTCGAGGTTCCTTTTTCTGAACCCGCTGTACCGCCTGCTGTATTGGATATTCCATTGGATGAATTACGTTTATCAACCTGGTCCGCTTGTCCTGGCGGACGGTTTGGTGAGCCCGTTGGTGATTGACTGGTATGTATTGTACTTCCCGTCTGGACCACTACTGGTTCTAAGGGGCTAGGTGAATCCCGCTGAGGGTTCTGCGGGACACTATTTGGAACATTGTTACCATCTGGAGTACTGCTTCCATCAGGTTTCCCAGCAGTATCTTTACTGACTCCACCACTGCAGGAGGAAGTGTTACTGTGGTCATTCGAGCCGTCGGTGTTTTTGTTACAGGAATGATGCAGACCGCCAGCAAAGCTACTGAAAGTATCGGATTCATTAGTGCTGCAGGATACGTCTGCCTGATATGTACGTGTGGATTCAGGTTCGCCTTTGGGAAGAAGGGCATCGTCCTTTCCACCAGTAGGTGTACTGGGGGTTGCCGCTGCTCCTGGTGTATGTGTTCCTGTTGATGATGTTGTAGTCTCAGATGATGGTTTTCCTGGTTCTGATTTAGTGGATGGGTCTATCTGTGCAGGTGGGGCCTCAGGTACAGATTGCGTGGGTCCTGAAGAGGAGTATAGAAAAAAGTCGAAGCAGGAAAAGTGAATTCCAAGTACGCGCAGCACAGGATGTAAAGTCCCCCTATTTTCTCCAACACCTTTTTTTTTGTTTTTTGTTTTTTTTGTTTTGCTTTTTCCTCTCATGCCCCACTCGTATGTGCTTCGCACATAGACAGTGTGTGTGTGTCTACGCCTGTCGACATCTCTACCGGCCGCTACATGGCGCGGCTTACTCTCCCCGGTCGCCCCGTCGCTCATTGCCCCTTCATTCTCATTCGACGTTTGGTTTCTCTCGCTGCGTGTTGTCTCTCCGGAAATGTGGTTTCTTTTGTGTTTTCGTTTTCGTTCTAATGTTACTTCGGGTGTTTATTTGCACTATGGTGCATAGGAATTGATACCTGGCTCTGGATCAGGGGGAGTTAGAGGTATACTAGAGGGAACTCCCCACGCGGAATCTGGAGTGCACCCGAGGCTGATGCTAACGCCGGATCCGTTCGTATTCGTACTGGTGGAACTCTCTGTACACGTATTACCTGTTGGTGGTCGGGGTGGTTGTGGTCCAGGTCCAGGTCCCTGACCCGGTCCTTGTCCCGTGCCTGTAGATGACGTTGTCCATGTTGCTGGTGCTGCATCCGCTGGTGGTGTATCTGCCCTTCCTACTGATTCTCCACCTGGTGATGCTGGGGCCGGTGCTGCGGGTTGTGCTGCTGCCTTATCCTTCTGGTCACCCTTGCTCTCTGTAGTCTTCTCTTCCTTGTGGCTCTTGTTGTCATTTGTCTTGGCAGGATCTGACGCATCTGTCTGCTTGGTCTTTTCCTTTTCTGCAGTGAACAAGAGAAAAGAGAAGAGGATCATACAAAAAGGGGTAGGTGCATGAACACAAATGACGAAAGGGGGATGATCGGTGGGGTCCGGTACCGGTCGGGTACGGTCCGGCTCGATGCA